TTTCACCACATCCCCGCGGTGACCAGCGTGGTGAAGTATGGTCAAACAATGCCCACGGCGAGGGGGAGGCATTCATCCAGCAGCAGGGCATGGACACAGCGCTCCTCCGTACGTTGTGTGTCTATAGTTATACGAATCAGAATATTTATTTTAAATTTGAGAAATCCGATGATCTACGAAGCTCTATTTTTTTCAGAAGTTCAGAAGTTTCACTGGACGAGGAAAGCCCGGACCAGCTGACAAGCCCTCCTTTTCAAGGGCGACACGGCCGGCAGACAACATCAAAGCACTCCACAATTACAGATTATTATTATTTTAAAAAAATGTTTTATTAGAAAAGTGCTCCTGTTATACACTTTGACACGGGGGGCGGTGGGGGGAAATATCCTTTATCCGCTGGGAAATAAAAAAAAATAAGCCACGGAAATTCACGGCAACACAAAAAAATAAAAGGCAGAATCGGAGCGGCTGCGGTTGGGAGATGTTGGTGTGGACCCAGCGCCCTCGGAGGATCAGAGGGATGTGCGAGTAACGAAGCAAAAAACAAGTCTCCGCGGGAGAGAGGCAGTTCTGTTGCCTAACTCCGTCGCGTACTTGCGGATTCTGTCGCGTACAAACGCGCTCGATCTGGGGGTTTACCCCCCTCCCCCACCCCTTGCAGATGACAATGGGATCTCGGCTGGTTAACAAAACTAACAAAAAAACGGAGACGGGGAACGACTCGAATTGAATTGGTTACAAGGTCCGCTCCTTCTCTCTGCCGCCAATACACGTGGCCATGGACTAAATTCAATTAGTTTGTACCGAATGACTTCAAACTGCGCTTCCTGTAACATTGTGCACGAGCGGAATTGTCATTAGTGAACACAACACGCCGTGTTCATTACCACGACGACGGGCACGCACCACGAACGAAGCCATTACAAAACTACGACAATAAAACACAAACCCTGTGCTCTATGGCTCCGATTCGGCATCTCAGAAATCAAATAATTACACTGGTCAACAAAAAACAACATGTTTTTCTGGCCTGGACTTTTGCAGCTGTTCTAGACTAATTTCAGGGTGCTGATTCCAAATCTGATCTCAGATTTGCTCCATCACATCTCATTTTTATGCTATCGGCATACCCCATTTTCATTGATTTTACCCGAAATTAACTCTGTCACTTATGATTGCAAGTGGTTGCGAGTCAGTGACTGCTTTAGTGTTAAAATATGGTGCTGTATGTTTAGGATAGTGTGTTTAGAATATCATTTTATGTAGATATCCACATTTAGTTAATATTTTTCTTCCGCAGTTTTTATTGAAAATGCAATATTTGATATTTCAAAAACCTGATGTGATAGACAAAAACTGATGCCAGATTTGGAATCAGCACCCTGAAATTAGTATAGAACAGCTGCAAAAGTCCAAATTACATTAAAACCCTTGGAATACCTCGTGCCAGACAAAGTGTGTTGACCAGCGTGATCGCAGTTGGTATTTGTCGCCACCGCTCTCATTGCGCGAGTCTGACACGCGCACGCGGGTTTAGTCAGCGGTGGTTCCGCTGTTTGGGGCGATGCTGCGGCTGTGTGGTTTTTACTTATCGTGTGATTGTTAACGTTGCCAGTACAGCACGATGTTGTTTAAACGGAGGACCCGGGAGAAACATCCACGCGACCACGGGGAGAAGGAGAGGCACGCGAACTGCAAATACGCAGCAGCAGGCGTCAGGGTCGGGATCGAACCCACGGCCTCCTGCACACGTGGCGAGGGAGTTAACATCTCATAGCCACTGCTGGATCAGTGGCGAGGAAACCTCCCACAACCCCCTCCCACTACACGCCACCCCCACCGCGGCCCTTCTAATCAACTGAAATTGTGCCGCTTGTTTGGCGCTGAGGATTTGCTGCAACCTTTTGATGGCTGGAAGGTCAATGATCAACCAAACCGATTTCCCCGTCCTATAAACTTGCAACGGCGTTCTGGCCGAGTGCCCCGGTGGGAGGGGAGGGGAGGAGAGGGGGGTTAATGACTCAAGCCCCCGAGACCGATGGGAGCCTGGGATTCGAATCTGAGTATCAGCCACCCGTGAGTAAAGCAAGTTCTCAGGTGTAAGAGGGTTTATAACCTCAACCCGGTCACCAATGATTGTCTAACATGAATACATAAATACAGGGTGAACGTTTTAGCACCCGCGGTAAACAATGCCTGGACCAAAATCGATACTCAGGGAGAACACTCAAATTCCACATCACAGCTGTATCTGCAATCCACTTGTTGCACTGCCTTAGGTAGCCGGTGTGTCGTACACGTGTAATAACAACGCTGAGTCCAACTGCTCTTTCTCACGAGGGTTCTCGCCGCTTCATCGGCTTCTTTTTTTAAATCCTTTATATTAAGTTCGCTTGCTTGCTTGCTTACGACCGTGCAAATCTGTCGGTCGTTTTTACCCCACTTCCCGTGATCCAATCGAGCTGACATTTTCCACACAGACTCGTTGTGTGTGACAATTAATTTTCGTGAACTTTTTTTTCCAAAATTTCACACTGTTTAGGGAAAACAAATTAAATATTTAATTACCAATTGCTTAATACTGACAATCATCTGACCCATAGGTGGCATCCATCTCAAGCCAGAGGACGAGAGGACTCTAGCTGCCACGCATATAAAGGATTTATAGTGAAAAACTTTGTTTTTACGGGTTATACTTATTTCATCTTAAGATTTGTTTAAGACAATTAAATGTGGGCGTCCGTCATACAAGCGGGAGAAAAGTGGAGCACCCGAAGTAAAACCCACGCTCCTTAATGGTAGCGACACCCCCTGCCCCCCCCCCCCGTCCGTTACAGACGGTAACAGACGGAGGTCAGTCCATTGGCTGTACCGCCTTTCTCACGACGAGCCAAGGAAGCGCGACTTCCTCCTCCTCGACGCCCGCGTTGAAGGGAGATTCGCAGCGTTTGTTCAGTGACCCACCAACCCTCGCTGCTTGCCTGCCGCAGCGCTCGCTAAACAGGCAGCAGCAGCGTGGCCACCAACGCCACTTGCCGGGCTTTGATCACAGCATGGGACACCGGCCACAAACGCGAATTTTCGCTCGACCTTTTTAGATATGTCGATGGAAGTGTGTGTTATTATTATTTTTGTGTTGTTGTTGTCGCCCATTTGTTCGCGGACTTTGATGGCTGACGGTCAAGAATCGTGACAGAAGGGAGCAAGCGGCACGTGGCCACGGCAATCTGGTGAGTAGGTGAGTGAGTAGGTGAGCGAGTGAGTAGATGAGTAGGTGAGCGAGTAGATGAGTGAATAGGTGAGTGAGTAGGTGAGTGAATAGGTGAGTGGGTTGGTGAGTGAATAGGTTAGTGAGTAGGTGAGTGATTGAGTAGGTGAGTGGGCTAGTAGGATAGTGAGTGGGTGAGTGAGTAGGTGAGTGAGTGGGTAAGTAGGTGAGTGGGTGAGTAGGTAGGTGAGTAGGTGAGTGAGCGAGTGGGTGAGTATGTGAGTGACTGAGTGGGTGAGTAGGTAGGTGAGTAGGTGACTGAGTGGGTGAGTGAGTGAGCGAGTGGGTGAGTGAGCGAGTGGGTATGTGAGTGACTGAGTGGGTGAGTAGGTGAGTGAGCGAGTGGGGGAGTAGGTGAGTGGGTATGTGAGTGACTGAGTAGGTGAGTGAGTGACTGAGTGGGTGAGTTTGTGAGTGAGTGACTGAGTGGGTGAGTGGGTGAGTATGTGAGTGAGTGGGTGAGTAGGTGAGTGAGTGGGTGAGTAGGTGAGTGGGTGAGTAGGTGAGTGAGCGAGTGGGGGAGTAGGTGAGTGAGTGGGTATGTGAGTGAGTGACTGAGTAGGTGAGTAGGTGAGTGAGTGACTGAGTGGGTGAGTTTGTGAGTGAGTGACTGAGTGGGTGAGTGGGTGAGTATGTGAGTGAGTGGGTGAGTAGGTGAGTGAGTGGGTGAGTAGGTGAGTGGGTGAGTAGGTGAGTGAGCGAGTGGGTGAGTATGTGAGTGAGTGACTGAGTAGGTGAGTATGTGAGTGGGTGACTGAGTGGGTGAGTAGGTGAGTGAGTGGGTGAGTAGGTGAGTGAGTGGGTGAGTAGGTTAGCGAGTGGGTGAGTATGTGAGTGAGTGACTGAGTGGGTGCTGCTGCCGCTTTCACTGCCTCTCCCCCCTCCTGTCCTCTCTCCCTGCCTCTGCCACTCTCCTCCTCGTCTTCTTGGTGTCTTTACGATCACAACGTAACAAAATGCTCGGTGTGTTCGGCAAATTGATTTCGTTCATCGTGTCGTTTTTTTTTGTCTTTTTTCAATGCTTCGTCTTACCTAATTCCTCCTCACTCTATACAACTCCACGTGTCACTATTGTTTTTCTTTTTTTCCTCGCCCCCCTCTTTTTTTTAGGGCTTCCGCTCATTTTATTAATGTACTTGTTAGTGTTTCACAGAAGGAATAAACATTTTCATTTACTTCAACGTCTTGTTGTTGTTGTTGTGTTCACGGCGTGCTGCCCAGTCGCGTGGGCTGTTGCTGCTTCTTGTGCAGCTGCTGCTTCTGCTGCTGCTGCTTCTTGTGGAGCTGCTGCAGCTGCTTGTGCAGCTGCTGCAGCTGCTTCTGCTGCTGCTGCTTCTTGTGCAGCTGCTGCTTCTTGTGCAGCAGCTGCGGCTGTGCGCAGTAGCGCTCCAGCACGAGCAGCGAGCAGGCGCGCAGGCAGCACGCTTCTGTGATGCCGCCTAGCTGCTGCCGCTGCCGCTGCACGCCAGCTGGTGGTGCCGCGTAGAAGCCTCGCCCGTTGCATACAAACGCCAAGGCGTCAACCAGCTGGCTCCCGCACAGAGTCAAGGCCGCGCTTTGGTGGTGGAGTAGTACGCACAGCGCCAGCGGCGCCAGCAGCCACAGCCGCTGGGGACGCGGGTGGCGGGAGGCCATGACTCTGTGCGGCAGGAGGCCCATGCTGCTGCTGCTGCTGCTGCTGCCGCCCCCGTGGGTTGTTGTTGTCGCGGTGACGGTGGCAACTGCGAAGCGCGCGCGTCGCTCTCTCGGGGGGGGGGGGGAGAGTGGGGGGAGTGGTGGGGGGAGAGTGGGGGGGGGGGGAGAGTGGGGGAAGTGGTGGGGGGAGCGTGGGGGGAGTGGTGGGGGGAGAGTGGGGGGGGGGAGAGTGGGGGGAAGTGATGGGGGAGAGTGGGGGGAGTGGTGGGGGGCGGAGTGGGGGGGGGGGGGGAGAGTGGGGGGCGTGGTGGGGGGAGAGTGGGGGGAGTGGTGGGGGGAGAGTGGGGGGGGGGGGAGAGTGGGGGGAAGTGGTGGGGGGAGAGTGGGGGGAAGTGGTGGGGGGAGAGTGGGGGGGGGGAGAGTGGGGGGAGTGGTGGGGGGGAGAGTTGGGGGGCGTGGTGGGGGGAGATTGGGTGGGGGGGTGAGAGTGGGGGGAAGTGGTGGGGGGTAGATGGGGGGAGTGCGTGGGGGGAGAGTGGGGGGGGGAGCGGTGGGGCAGTGTTGGCGGGAGAGTGGGGGGAGTGGTGGGGGGAGGCGTAGGGGGGGGAGTGGGGGGTATGTGGTGGGGGAGCGAGTGGGGTGCCAGTGGTGGGGGGCGATGAGGGGGGGCGAGTGGGGGGGGTGGGAGAGTGGGGGGGGGGGAGAGTGGGGGGAGTGGTGGGGGGAGATGGGGGGGGGAGAGTGGGGGAGTGGTGGGGGAGGGAGAGTGGGGGAAGTGGTGGGGGGAGACGTGGGGGGGGGGGCGAGTGGGGGGAAGTGGTGGGTGGGAGAGTTGGGGGGGCGATGGTGGGGGGAGAGTAGGGGGGGGGGCGTGGGGTGAGTGGTGGGGGAGGAGAGTGGGGGGTAGTGGTGGGGGGAGAGGTGGGGGGGGAGGAGTGGGGGGGGCGAGTGGGGTGAGTGGGGGGGGGAGAGTGGGGGTGGGGGGGTGGAGAGGTGGGGGGAAGTGGTGGGGGGAGAGTGGGGGGAGTGGTGGGGGGAGAGTGGGGGGGGAGAGTGGGGGGAAGTGGTGGGGGGGAGAGTGGGGGGAGTGGTGGGGGGAGAGTGGGGGGGGGGGGAGAGTGGGGGGAAGTGGTGGGGGAGGAGTGGGGGAGTGGTGGGGGGAGAGTGGGGGGGGGGAGAGTGGGGGGAAGTGGTGGGGGGATGAGTGGGGGGAGTGGTGGGGGGAGAGTGGGGGGGGGGGAGAGTGGGGGGAGTGGTGGGGGGAGAGGGGGGGAGTGGTGGGGGGAGAGTGGGGGGGGGGAGAGTGGGGGGAAGTGGTGGGGGGAGAGTGGGGGGCAGTGGTGGGGGGAGGAGGTGGGGGGGGGGGGGGGGGAGAGTGGGGGGAAGTGGTGGGGGGGAGAGTGGGGGGAGTGGTGGGGGGAGAGTAGGGGGGGGGAGTGGGGGGAGTGGTGGGGGGAGAGTGGGGGGAGTGGTGGGGGGAGAGTGAAGGGGGGGGAGAGTGTGGGGGGGGAGAGTGGGGGGGGGAGAGTGGGGGGAGTGGTGGGGGGAGACGTGGGGGGGGGGAGAGTGGGGGGAGTGGTGGGGGAGAGTGGGGGGGAGTGGTGGGGGGAGAGTGGGGGGGGGAGAGTGGGGGGAAGTGGTGGGGGGAGAGTGGGGGGAAGTGGTGGGGGGAGTGGTGGGGGGAGAGGTGGGGGAGTGGTGGGGGGAGAGTGGGGGGGGGAGAGTGGGGGGGGGCAGAGGAGATGGGGGGAGTGGGGGGGGGGGAGAGTGGGGGGAGTGGTGGGGGGAGAGTGGGGGGGGGGGTGAGAGTGGGGGGAGTGGTGGGGGGAGAGTGGGGGGGAGTGGTGGGGGGAGAGTGGGGGGGGGGAGAGTGGGGGAAGTGTGGGGGAGAGTGGGGGGGGAGTGGTGGGGGGGAGAGTAGGGGGGGGGGAGTGGGGGGAGTGGTGGGGGGAGAGTGGGGGGAGTGGTGGGGGAGAGTGGGGGGGGGGAAGTGGGAGGGAGAGTGGGGGGCGTGGGAGGGGAGATGGAGAGTGGGGGGAGAGTGGTGTAGGGAGAGTGGGGGGGGGAAGAGTGGGGGAGTGGTGGGCGGAGAGTGGTGGGAGTGGTGGGGGGAGACGTGGGGGGGGCGGAGGAGTAGGGGGGAGTTGGTGGGGGGGGAGAGTGGGGGAGTGGTGGGGGGAGAGTGGGGGGGGGGCGAGGTGGGGGGGGGGAGAGTGGGGGAGGGGAGAGTTGGGGGGCGTGGGGGGGGGATGAGTGGGGGCGTGGTGGGGGGGAGAGTGTGGGGGGGCGAGTGGGGGGAGTGGTGGGGGCGAGAGTGGGCGGGGGAGAGTGGGGTGAGTGGTGGGGGGAGAGTGGGGGGAGTGGTGGGGGAGATGGGAGAGTAGAGGGGGTGAGAGTCGGGGGAGTGGTGGGGGGAGAGTGGGGGGAGTGGTGGGGGCGAGTGGGGGTGGGAGAGTGGGGGGAATGGTGGGGGCGAGTGGGGGGATGTGGTGGGGGGAGACGTGGGGGGGAGAGGTGGTGCGGGGAGGGTGGGGGGAGAGAGAGTAGGGGGGGGGAGAGTGGGGGGACGTGGTGGGGGGAAAGTGGGGGGGGAGAGAGTGGGGGAAGTGGGGGGGGAGAGTGGGGGGAGTGGTGGGGGGAGACGTGGGGGGGGGGGAGAGTGGGGGGGAAGTGGTGGGGGAGAGTGGGGGGGAGTAGGTTGGGGGGAGAGTGGGGGGGGGGAGAGTGGGGAAATGTGGGGGGGGAGAGTGGGGGGAGTGGTGGGGGGAGAGTGGGGGGAGTGGTGGGGGGAGAGTGGGGGGGGGGAGGAGCGTGGGGGGAAGTGGTGGGGGAGAGTGGGGGGAGTGGTGGGGGGAGAGTAGGGGGGGGGAGAGTGGGGGAGTGGTGGGGGGAGAGTGGGGGGAGTGGTGGGGGGAGAGTGGGGGGGGGAGTAGTGGGGGGAAGTGGTGGGGGGAGAGTTGGGAGAGTGGGGGGGAGAGTGGGGGAGAGTGGGGGGAGAGTGGGGTGAGTGGTGGGGGGAGAGTGGGGTGAGTGGGTGAGTGAGTTAGTTTGTATGTATTCCCTGTTCCTACAGAGTGAGTGAGTGGAGTGTGTGTGATCTCCCCCTGTTCTGCAGAGTGAGTGAGTGAGTGGAGTTTGTATGATCTCCCCTGTCCTACAGAGTGAGTGAGTGGAGTTTGTGTGATCTCCCCCTGTTCTGCAGAGTGAGTGAGTGGAGTTTGTATGATCTCCCCTGTCCTACAGAGTGAGTGAGTGGAGTTTGTGTGATCTCCCCTGTTCTGCAGAGTGAGTGAGTGAGTGGAGTTTGTATGATCTCCCCCTGTTTACAGAGTGAGTGAGTGAGTGGAGTTTGTGTGATCTCCCCCTGTTCTGCAGAGTGAGTGAGTGAGTGGAGTTTGTATGATCCCCCTGTTCTGCAGAGTGAGTGAGTGTAGTTGTATGATCTCCCCCTGTTCTGCAGAGTGAGTGAGTGGAGTTTGTATGATCTCCCCCTGTTCTGCAGAGTGAGTGAGTGGAGTTTGTATGATCTCCCCTTGTTCTACAGAGTGAGTGAGTGGAGTTTGTATGATCTCCCCCTGTCCTACAGAGTGAGTGAGTGGAGTTTGTATGATCTCCCCCTGTTCTACAGAGTGAGTGAGTGTAGTTTGTATGATCTCCCCCTGTTCTGCAGATGTGAGTGAGTGGAGTTTGTATGATCTCCCCCTGTTCTGCAGATGTGAGTGGAGTTTGTATGATCTCCCCCTGTTCTACAGAGTGAGTGAGTGGAGTTGGTATGATCTCCCCCTGTCCTACAGAGTGAGTGAGTGGAGTTTGTATGATCTCCCCTTGTTCTACAGAGTGAGTGAGTGGAGTTTGTATGATCTCCCCCTGTTCTGCAGAGTGAGTGAGTGGAGTTTGTATGATCTCCCCTTGTTCTACAGAGTGAGTGAGTGGAGTTTGTATGATCTCCCCCTGTCCTACAGAGGTGAGTGAGTGGAGTTTTGTATGATCTCCCCCTGTTATACAGAGAGTGAGTGGAGTTTGTGTGATCTCCCCCTGTTCTGCAGAGTGAGTGAGTGGAGTTTGTATGATCTCCCCCTGTTCTGCAGAGTGAGTGAGTGAGTGGAGTTTGTATGATCTCCCCCTGTCCTACAGAGTGAGTGAGTGGAGTTTGTATGATCTCCCCCTGTTCTACAGAGTGAGTGAGTGAGTTGGTATGATCTCCCCCTGTTCTGCAGAGTGAGTGATGTGAGTGGAGTTTGTATGATCTCCCCCTGTCCTACAGAGTGAGTGGAGTTTGTGTGATCTACCCCTGTTCTACAGAGTGAGTGAGTGTAGTTTGTATGATCTACCCCTGTTCTACAGAGTGAGTGAGTGGAGTTTGTATGATCTCCCCCTGTGAGCCGAAACACACTCACAGGCAAAAGAGTCACAGACATACACAGAAACCCACAGACACCCACACACACACAGAGACACACACACAGAGACACAGAGAGAGAGAGAGACAGACACAGAGAGACACACACACACACAGACACACACAGAGAGACACACACAGAGACACACACACACAGAGACATGGTCTCCGGAGGAGCTCACCGATGGACTTTGCCCAGATATTTCAAGGATTTGTGAGCTCCTCACACAATCCAACCTGGTTAAACCCAGGATGGATCGTAGGCAGGCCAGCCTAAATGTTTCCAACCGGAGAGACACACACACACAGAGACACACACACACAGACACAAACACAAAGACACACACACAGAGAGAGGCACACACAGAGACACACACAGATACACACAGAGACACACACACACAGAGAGACACACATACACAGAGACACACACAGACACACACAGAGACACACACACACAGAGACACAGAGACACACATAGAGACACACACACACAGAAACACACACACACAGAGACACACACAGATACACACAGAGACACACAGAGAGAGACACACACACAGAGACACAGAGACACACACACACATATACAGAGAGACACACACACATACACAGAGAGACACACACACAGAGACACACACACACACACAGAGAAACACACACAGAGACGTAGGCATATGCACAATCTCGTGACACTCACTCTCCCTCAAGGGCACGACCTCAAGCGCGACCCAGGGTGAGGACAGCGGTGGTGAGGACGAGACGGAGAATCTCACGCGGAGGAGATAGCGGCCACCGGCATCGTCCAGCGCTGAAGAGACGTCGCAGCACGTGTCTTTGGTGGCAGCACAGACGGTCTGCCAGAGGGCGCGTCTGAAGCTGCGCAGACAGAGACACAGGGAGCAGTGGTGAGGGTGGTGAGGAGAGAGTGGGTGAGTGGGTTGGTGGGTGGGTGGGTTGGTGAGTGAGTGAGTGGGTTGGTGGGTGAGTGGGTTGGTGGGTGAGTGAGTGGGTTGGTGAGTGAGTGAATTAATGAGTGAGTGGCTGAGTGAGTGGCTGAGTGAGTGGCTGAGTGAGTGAGTGCTGAGTGAGTGAGTGGGTTGGTAGGTGAGTGGGTTGGTGGGTGAGTGAGTGGCTGAGTGAGTGAGTGGGTTGGTGAGTGAGTGGGTTGGTGAGTGTGGTGAGTGGGTTAGTGGGTGGGTGAGTGGGTTGGTGAGTAAGTGGGTCGGTGAGTGAGTGGGTGAGTGAGTGGGTGAGTGGGTGAGTGGGTTGGTGGGTGAGTGGGTTCGTGAGTGGGTTGACGAGTGAGTGAATTAATGGGTGAGTGCCTGAGTGAGTGGCTGAGTGAGTGAGTGGCTGAGTGAGTGGGTTGGCGGCGTGAGTGAGTGGGTTGGTTGGTGAGTGGGTTGGTGAGTGAGTGGGTTGGTGGTGAGCGAGTGGGTTGGTGAGTGAGTGACTTAATGGGTGAGTGGCTGAGTGAGTGAGTGAGCATCTCACAGTTTGCTCTGAACTCTGTAGGTGACATTCAGGAACGTTGAGTTGGTGGTGGTGGTGGAGTTGATGCTTGAAGGGTCAACAGGTGGGGGTCTCTCTCCTCCACCCCTCACAGGAGCCACTTCAACGGGGTCCAGCAAAGCGTCGCCAGGAGGTCTTGAGACTCCAAACGCACATTCAGTAGATACGGCGCAACTGGGCAGATGGGAAAACAACACTCACACACAGTGCGCTAACCACTGCACCACCACTCACACAGTGCGCTAACCACTGCACCACCACTCCCCCCACACACACACAGTGCGCTAACCACTGCACCACCACTCACTCACACACAGTGCGCTAACCAGTGCACCACCACTCCCCACACACACAGTGCGCTAACCACTGCACCACCACTCCCCCCACACACACAGTGCGCTAACCACTGCACCACCACTCACACACAGTGCGCTAACCACTGCACCACCACTCCCCACACAACACAGTGCGCTAACCACTGCACCACCACTCCCCACACACACACAGTGCGCTAACCACTGCACCACCACTCCCCACACACACACAGTGCGCTAACCACTGCACCACCACTCCCCACACACACACAGTGCGCTAACCACTGCACCACCACTCCCCACACACACACAAGTGCGCTAACCACTGCACCACCACTCACCGTGGCTGCACGTGGCGAGGTGGAGGAAGAGGAGGTCACGTGTGGAGAGGTTTCCACGTCGCCATTCACACCACGTGACCTCTGACCCGAAGTCACGTGCAGAGAAAATCGAGTACGCGCGTCTCATTGGTCCTCCTCCGTGGGGGCACGCCCCCTCGAGAATTTTCCGCTCTCCCGATTGGTCCGCCGTGTGGGGTGACGTCACCACACAACAAATCCCCCCCCCACCCCTCCATTGCCACGTAAGCCAATCGGCGAACTCCCCACTGGGTGATGACGTCACGTCACGCGCATCCTGTAGCCAATGTAGCGCGTCCGCCTAGGGACGGATGACGTCATGTGACTCGAGAGCGAGGGAGGGGGGCTACACAAGTCGAGGCCCGAGACGCTGTAGCAGCTGCTGCTGTAGCTACAGCTGTTACTCTGCTGCTGCTGTTGCTGCTGCTGCTGTTGCTGCTACAGTGCTGCTGCGCTTGCCTGCCGACAGCAGCGACCTGTTGTGAGCATTGCGAGCCCGCTGCCGTGAAGTTGCGGGGAAAGTATCTGAAGGTGAGTGGGTGTCGTCCTCCCTACCTCCCTCCACCACCAGCACCACTCTCTTTTAAAGGAATAATGCTAATCTGCGACGATTGGAGTGGTGAGGGTGGTGAGTGATGTGAGTGGTGAGGGTGAGTGGTGAGCGTGATTGGTGAGGGTGAGTGGTGAGGGTGAGTGGTGAGCGTGATGGTGAGTGGTGAGGGTGAGTGCGTGGGTAGGAGGGTGAGTGGTGAGGGTGAGTGGTGAGGGTGAGGAGTGATGGTGAGGGTTAGTGGTGAGAGAGTAGGTGGTGAGGGTGAGTGGTGGGTGGGTGAGGGTGAGTGGTGATGAGAGTGGTGAGGGTGAGTGGTGAGGGTGAGTGGGTGAGGGTGAGTGGTGAGTGGTGAGGGTGAGTGGTGGGTGGTGAGGGGGATGGGTGAGAGAGTGGTGAGGGTGAGGGTGAGTGGTGCGGGTGAGTGGTGAGGGTGAGTGGTGACGTGAGTGGTGAGCGTGAGTGGTGAGGGTGAGTGGTGAGGGTTAGTGGTGAGAGGAGTGGTGAGGGTGAGTGGTGGGTGGTGAGGGTGAGTGGTGAGAGAGTGGTGAGGGTGAGGGGTGAGGGTGAGGGTGAGGGTGAGTGGGTGGGTGGTGAGGGTGAGTGGTGAGGAGAGTGGTGAGGGTGAGGGTGAGTGGTGAGGGTGGGTGGTGAGAGGTGAGTGGTGAGGGTGAGTTGTGAGTGAGCTCCAAGATTAGTAAACAAAAATCTCGACAATAAAATAGAATAATAATGATGATGATGATCAACCCGCTTGCTTGTTAAAGTTCAACGCGTTCACTACGATATTTAATTATCTCTCGTGAAATAATCCCGCCAAATTGAGTCGTTAATTAGGTCAGCTGTTAATTAGTAGCGGGCCAATTAAGGACGTCGTGTAATTAGGCCAGCTGTTAATTAGCCTGAGGCGTTGACCTGAGGCCAATTAATTAAGCAACGTGCTCATTCAATTACAAATTGCGTGTATGACGTGAGTTGACTTCGGGGTTTTATTGAATTTTTTAAAAATGCAATTGTGTTTAATTTAAGGACAGTGCACATACATTATCAGAGTTGTGTTTTTTGTTTGCATTACGACCGCAGGTATTGTGGTCTATGCAACATGACTCCTTGTAAAAAGGTGTCAGTTTTGTTGCCAGATAGAAGGGTACAAAAACAATTATCAAGACAATCGTAGATTGAATAGGAATGTTAAAGACCTCTTAATATCTCGATTTAAAGCTTTCGTGACTGCAGGGATTCATCTTCTTGGTTCTTTCGGTAAAGCATCACGTAGAAGGGAAGTAATAAAAAAACATAATAAAATAATATTTTATTATGTTTTATTTTTATTATTTTATTATTCCCTTCTACGTGACTTTACTGAAAGAACCAAGAAGATGAACCTCTTAGTATCGTTGGAGATTGTCATTTATTTAGCTAAGAGTGAGTGGCAAGCTCGACTGGCCACGATGATTCATAGATGTTTGCCTTTTGCTCATTTAACTCTGAGTAACGTCATCTGTGATTGCTTTTTAAATCCTTTATATTAAGTTCACTTGCTTGCTTGCTTACGACCGTGCAAATCTTTCGGTCGTTTTTTAACCCACTTCCCGTGATCCAATCGAGCTGACATTTTGCACACAGACTCGTTGTGCGTGACAATTTATTTTCGTGAAATTTTTTCCCAAAATTTTCCACTTTTTAGGGAAAAAAAAATGTCATATTTAATTTAAAAAAGCAATGTGATAAAAATGAAACTCTTACTCATGAAAAACAGAAATGAATAATAAAATAAAACCGATGCCACGCATATAAAGGATTTATAGTGAAAAACTTTGTTTTACGAGTTAATTTTTTAAACATAAAATTGGCACCCTCGTTATAACTGGTGTCACGTGACGTGAGCAGATTGGAGATACAGAAACTAAATACACGTGCGGTTTTATAAATTAATTAACAAGACAAGTATTCACTGGGTAGCCGAGGAAATCACGAGCGCTTGATGATTAATTAATTGGATGTTTGTGATAGGTTAATTAGGCTCGCCACACCGGAAGCTAATTAACTTTGGAACTTCCATTTAATCCCAAAGCTAATGTTCCAGCTGGGCTGTGCGAACGGCCTTGAACCTGCTCTGAAAGTTTCAGGTTCTTGTGCACTAATTTGTGTGGGAAAAAATGTAACATTAAATGTTATCACAGTATTTGGTTTCTCTTACGGGGTCGTTTATTTATCCGTTTACAACTCTGTCGGCCAACTGTTGGGCAAAGTCTTGGGGTCTCACACAGTTTCCCCAAGGGAGTTTTTTTAATACATATTGTTTTAGAATAACGTTATTCTGTAATCTTTATATTTTCCGAAAATATCGTACAGGTTATCAAATCGCTGTTTCGCCCGAATAACTACCCTTGTAATCAACGACTTGTTTTGGAAAATTTAATCGGATCGCTAATGGCTCTGATGATGATGACACTTGCTGTGAGAGTTGTATTTTTAAATCCTTTATATTAAGTTCACTTGCTTGCTTGCTTAGGACCGTACAAATCTTTCGGTCGTTTTTTAACCCACTTCCCGTGATCCAATCGAGCTGACATTTTGCACACAGACTCGTTGTGCGTGACAATTAATTTTCGTGAAAAAAATTCCTAAATTTTACACTTTTTAGGAAAAAAAATTTATATTACATATATTCAAATAGAACTCATTCATGGCTTTGGCTGAACGTCACAGTATAAGAGCCCAGAGCGTAACCCCTCCACAGGCCGTGGCGGAGTAGCGCAGTTGGTAGCGCCCTCGCTTCCCATGCCAAAGGTCGCGGGATCGATCCCCGCATCCTCCACAGGCGAATATATTTTAAATCCTTTATATTAAGTTCGCTGCCACGCATATAAAGGATTTATAGTGAAAAACGTTTTTACGGGTTATACTTATTAAATCCTTTATATTAAGTTCGCTTGCTTGCTTGCGTGCTTGCTTGCGTGCTTGCTTGCTTACGACCGTGCAAATCTTTCGGTCGTTTTTTAACCCACTTCCCGTGATCCAATCGAGCTGACATTTTGCACACAGACTCGTTGTGCGAGACAATTAATGTTCGTGAAAAATGTTTCCCAAATTTTACACTGTTTAGGGAAAACAAATTAAATATTTAATTACCAATTGCTTAATACTGGCAGACAATCATCTGACCCATAGGTGGCAGCCATCTCAAGCCAGAGGACGAGAGGACTCTAGCCGCCACGCATATAAAGGATTTAGAGTGAAAAACTTTGTTTTTACGGGTTAATTTTTACCTAGCTACAATGCCATTGGTCAGTCTAGTGAATGGGCGGCACAATGCCATTTCGAGGGTGTGGAGTTTATCCTGTTATGTACGAAACTTGAGAACCCTAGCTACATACAATGTCTGCTGCCAGTTTTATAGGGCTGAACATTGAAAATGTCTCAGTGTACAATTATTGCGATTACCATGTCTCTATAGTCGTGGTTGAAGAGACATTGTAATGTTTTTAAACTATTTAATCTTTTCCTGTAATTTCTTGAAATTCTCTTTTGGCGGGTTAAGTAAAGACATGCCTTACAATGGCTGCCCATAAAACAAAAATTGTTTTAATGCATTTGTTTTCTGGCCATTTGTTTTAGTGGCCAGGTACTGGGCCGATTCTGCTGTGAGACCCGAGTGTGTGCTTCGCCGGGGAGAGATGTAAAAATGTAGGTGAAAAATGAAATAAAAATTAATAAAAATAAAATTAATTACGACGTTTCGGAAGCAACACAAGCTTCCGTCTTCAGGTGAAACTGTCACAGCAAAATATGTTTCACCTGAAGACGGAAGCTTGTGTTGCTTCTGAAACGTCGTGATTTT